AACTGACACCACCAGTTATTTTCCTTTGATCTCAGGTGGCCCTGAAGGCCAACTGACTTCAAAAAGGCTGTTCACGCCCAGGGCCCTCATCCCAGACAGCGCTCAGCAAAGGCTTCCTCACACTCCTTTCTGGTGTTTGCGGGAGTGTCAGCTTGGACTGCCATCTACAACAATTACACATCATAAAATATGTGTCTTAAGACTTCCCAGCTGGCATGGGGTGACCTTCTTGTAAGAAAAGTTAAACATCTAACACATGGTTGATGCTCAACAAGAGATAGTTACTCCTCTCAGTGAATGTTTAATTTAGAATAGAGAACACCTTCAGTTTTGTTTTTTGAAAAACAGTATTTTGAATATTTGCGTTACTGTCTTGGCTCCATCTAATATCAGCCTTTACTCAAATGGTTCAGCAGCTGTTTTCTACCCAAAATGTTGTGTGAATTAACAATAAATGTGTGAAGAATCACTCTGTAAAACCATTTAGGAAATGTGAATGTGAGTTAGGGAAAAAATACTCTTCTACTGGCAAACTTGATCACGATTTTAATTAGTTCTGTAGATTTGAATTTTTTGAAGAACCACTGATACCTTGCAGAGAATAAATGCCTCCTGCCCTCCCCACCCCATCTGCTCTAGTTCCCATTTGACATCTGCTTATTTGGTTGGCTGTTTCTTAGAAAAGTTATCCTTTTATCTTTTCATTTGCAATTTTCTAATTTTATACCCTCTACCTAGCACTGTAACTCATCAGTATTTGTGATTTAAAAGTGTGGGAAGAGAAGGAAGAAGGAAGAGCCAATGGAATAACTACTTTATTCTTAAAACCCTACAGAACAAGAAATTCTAGTGCAACCTACAAAATCCCAACCCCACGTGTCTATGTAAAACTTTTCTTCTATATCAACCATAGCATTCATTGTTACAAAATTGGCACTTAGCACCTTGTATTTGGTTTTGTCATGTGTGTGTTATCCTCCCCGTTATCACAGAAGAGATCTAAGCTCTAAAGGGGTTTGATTCTTCCTTGAGTGCATGATAGCATATTCTACCATGTTCTTTACTGCTAGAGTTCAGTACATTCTAACATATTGATTCATAGTAGCAGCTTCTTCATTTCAAGTTCCATAGTCTGCCATTGTGCCTCATTGCATCACTTAAACCCTCTTACATTGTAAACTGTGGAATCTTTGTTGTTAGTGTAGTTGACAATGTTGTCTCTTGTCAGCTAACTCCCTCTGGCTGGCTTATTAACACAGCCATTTAAGGAGCTAACAAATCTCCACTGAAAATAAAGATAATAAAACATGTTTAGAGCACCTACCAGGTCCGAGGCACAGCAATAGTCTCTGTACCACTAGAGTTCTTCTACTTTTGTGACCTATGAAAAAACTGGCTACAGAATTGTTTATGTATATTGGAATTTCTGTTTTCTCCATTGGGGGTTTATCATGTACTGTCACTGCAAAGTAGATTGTTTCTCCAGCAGATTGTGTCTTCTGTATTCAACTCAATTTTAATGGCGGAAGTGTTTAATAGAGTGGGAATCCCTATAGAGATGCCCATTTACTTTTGAAAATGGTAGCACATGTAGTGCCTTGGCAATGATTTTAGACTGTGTGTTCTGCACCATCCCAGGCTGGGTAGGTTCACTGTGGGTTCAGGCAGTTTAAAAGAGAACCTTGGAGCCATGGCATCCTCCCCCTTCCCCCCACCTCCCCCCACCCCAGGTTATATTAATAGTATGCAGGGGAAACAGGCCAGGAGAGAAAACAGAACTTAGGCCCCCTGCGAATCTCTGCAGTGATTTCCTCAGGGCTTCCCTCTAGCGGTTCACGCTGCACACTCCTCTGTGTGATGCTGCCCTAGGAGGTAGCCTGCAGGCCCAGGTGCCTATCCTCCAGGTGGCCATCACACAGGCGCACAACACCACAGGCTTGACTAACAGCCGGTGGGTGGGAAAGCCTGACAACTTCCGTTTATGCTACACTATGATTCCAAATTCCCATTGTCCTTTTTACCCCCTTTTTTAAAAAGATGGTTCGCCCCCCATACCATCGCTAATTGTAATTTGCAAGTATGTCTATGAACAGAAGTTAATTCAGAAAATAATTTTTCCCTGCTGAGGTAAATTAATTTTATTGTATGCAAGAGCATCTTTAGATGAATTTCATAGCTTTGTAAACTTTATGTATTTTAAATTAAATTCAGTAGTAACCTTGTCTTCAAACTTCAGTTATTGAGTTTTTTCTTTGGTGAACTTACATGTGATAATTCTTGTTCTCTTCACTAAATCAACAGTCCTTAAAGTAAAGGAAATAATAAATTTAGTATAATTTATGTGTTAAAAAATGTTTTAAAAGATCTTGCCTGAATGTTTGAAAACAAATATTTCTGAGGAATAGCCCTCCTCTATTTTTTTCCACACACAAAATATAATAATAATATAAAAGATTCTACTTTTTCTTATTTATATTTTTATAATATTGTGATCCTACTTTTTCTTATTTATATTTTTATAATATTGAAAATAGTTCCTAAAATAACCCCAACACTATTTCTTTCAAGGCAGAACTATATAAAATGCTTAAAGAAAAAGTCATTGAGCAACACAAAGTTGCCATAGATGTGATCCTCCCGATTTAACATGCAACTGAAGCACCTGCAGAATTCATTAAAACACAGATTGCTTGGTCCCTCCCCCAGTTTCCAAATCAGCTGAGAATTTGTAGCTCTAACAAGTACCCAGGTGATGCTGTTACTGCTTTCCAGAGACCATACTTACGATGTATTGCTCTCTATTTTTCCTGAGAATCACTTCTAAAGTTGATTTTATAGCATTAAACTGTTAGGCTCCAAATAATTTCAAAAGGAAAATTCCTGGAAAACTGAATGTATTCTTAAATGAATGAAATTTCTAAAACTAATTTGAAATAAATTAACTTATTTTCACTTGCAGAAAATAAGTTATGTATGTATATAAAAAAGAAACTCACAATAGTATGTATGTATGTATATAAAAAAGAAACTCACAATAGTATGTATTTGGTTTTGCATTTTTCAGTCCTGCCTTTAGTAGTCTACAGCATCTGAAATTACTTTCAACATATTCAGTCACTTACTGTAAGAGTATTTACTGGAAGCCTACTTCCTGTCTCCATCCCATCAATATGAAGTTTACGGTTATATTTGCATGACAGTGCATCGGCTGTGGTTGTACTGATTCTTATAACCATTTGAATCTCAGAGAAGTCTCAGTATGAGGGTTAGGATTAAAATACATCGTGTTAGACTTCCTCCATAATATAAAATACTGTGACAACACTGCATTTAATATTTGAGGAAATAAAAATTTTTAAACATCTTGTTCCAATTGAGAAAACAGATGAACAGATTATAAAATTAAAGGGAGGAACTTGATTTTTTTCAAGCAAGGTGTTGTCCCTTCTCAGAGCAGTTCTTCTGCAGTCGCTAATTATTCCTAGTCATTTACTGTCTACATATTTATGCATACAGTTTATGTAACATTTCCTATGTGCTAGCTTCGTATTTATGTATATTAATATTTAAATTTTCTGATCACTTTGTTTATATTGATTCTCTGTAATGATCTCTAAGTTAGGTTCTATTAATACACCTACTTTTAGATTAGAAAATAGGCTCAGAGAAGTCAGACAAAGCTGGCCCAAGCTGCACAGCAGATAAATGATAGAGTCATGCTGTGATTTTAATGATCTGGCTCCTGAGCCTACTGTTTCCCCCATGAAATGCAACAGATGTATGTGATGGCTCTGGCACTAGTCATATATTGTTGTTTCTGTTTGCATTTTTTTTATACCAGGTAAATAGTTTTGCAGTTAATAGTAAGGTCTTTGAAGTCAATTTCTGTGTTTAACAATTCTTGTATTCTGTGTCAAATATAATACTTTATGTATAATAGTTTTTTGTTTGTGTTTTAAAGACCTATTCATCTATGCATACAAGAGCTGGGGTACAGGGCAGAGGTGTAGGGGGTGAGAGGATTCACCAGAGACAGAGAGGGAAGCAGAACAAGCAGAGTGAGATGCACTGATGATGAGAGCAGTGGATAAGACAGGAGAGGTCTGCTGTGCCACGTGGAGCCTATTTTCCCTGAAATAAAAATCTTCAGATATAAAGAATATACATATATGAGTTGCTATAAAATATTGTTATTATTTAAATGGTCAGGCTGACCTCAAGACTTGAAATTAAATCATAAAATATTTTATTATTTTAAAATAATTTATTCATTTACATATTACATCTTTTTGTTGTTGTTGTTTTTGCTTTCTTTCCTCAGGTGTAGGTCCCATAGAATTTCCACCACCATTTCACCTGTGCATAGTCACCATCGTCCCTGGTGCTCTTCCCACCCTCAAAAAACAACATTTAAATTTAGCTTTAACACAGATGCCCCTCTTTATTATACTGATTAAGCAGCAGAGAAGTAGAAGATGCAAGTTACATATGTTAGGTCACTTGTATAGTTTCAGGCACCTAGAAAAAACAAACTCAGATATTTCAACTCATCTTTAAGCCTTTCTTCTTTTCCCACCCTAGTATAGTTTATTCTCTTTGCTTTTTAAGACTGTACTTCTTGGTCTAGTGTAGACATACATTTTAAAATAAGTTATAGCTCTTTCCAAGGAAATGTGATTTCACCAAACAAATCTAATCAACCACCCAGATTTTTAGATTTCCTAGTAGGAGATATAGAAGACTTACAGTTTGTTCTTTCAAAGTCACATACAGATGTTTGCATGAAGTCACATGGCCCTTACATAGGTTTGCCTTTTCTGTGTAACAAATTTATAACTAATACAATGGCTTCAGTCTTACAGTGTCTTAAGCCTTTTGTTTAGCAACTTCTTCTGCACTGGCTGAGCTCAGCAGAATTGACTAATTCCTGCATTGTTATTTGGGAGGCTCTTGGGACCTGGTTAATTATGGATGTTTTTATTCGCACGGCCTCTATTTGATGCTGCCTTGTTTATCCTCAGTTGGGGTATAAATACCACTAGACCATGTGTCTCTCATCAGGTAGTCTAAACTGAACATGTTTTCAAGAAGGTGGTAGAAGAAGATGCAGTAGCAGCAAGGAGGTAAGCTCTCACACAGGGGATTTTTCACCCCATATCAGTGTTTGCTAAGGTCTTATTTACATGGCAAATTAAAATGGCCAGTCTAGATTTAAAAGGTGGGAAAATGGATTCTGTCTCTGTGCGAGAGGCAGGATAATTATCTAAAGTATTAACAATTATCTGCATATGTAAGTAGGATTTTTACATTACAGCTCCCGTAAGTCGTTTATGTTCATGACTCCACTTTATTCTCTCCCACTCACTTTTAAACAACAACCTCTTTATTTCACTGTTGAAATTTCTTTCTTAGTGCAAGCAATGACCTCCTAATTGCTAAGTCTAACATTATCTCTCCATTTCTTCAAACATGCTTGATCTCTTCAGCAGTAATGAGGTTTGGTTGAAATTCTGTACTTCTCATCCAGAACTGAATTCTCTTGACTTTTTACCTATTTATATTTGATTTGTTCCTTATTCTTTGTTCTGTTTCTGTTTTTTTTTCCATCTTATCCCTCAGTAGCAGAATTATAAATTCAGTTAGTACTTGATTTTCTTTTTGTTCTTTTTGTTCAGTGGCCTGTATGAATAGCTAATCTAATTCACTTTCTATGACTCTAGTGCCCATTTCTGTGTTGATAACCTTTAAAATCTTCATCAATAATTTTGCCACTTCTTGCTTCCTACATTCATTTTTCTATCTACAGAACAGCCCATGAATTTTTAAAATTGAAGCATAATTCACACATACCATTGTATTTATTTCAGATATACTATGTAATGATTTGATATGTGCCTGTATTTTGCAAATGATTACAATATGTTAGCATCATCACCATAAATACAGTGTTGACAACTTTAAAACTCACTTAGCATCATTCAAATATTTAACTACTATATTAACTTTACTATCCTCATGTACATTATATCCCTATGTTGGTTATTTTGCAAACAAAAGTTTATACCTTTTTACCTTTTATATTTTCTCTACCCGACACTTGTGGTAACCACTCTTCTCTTTACCTAAGAGCTTGCTCTTCTGTTTTTTGTTTGGGAATCCAAATGTAAGTGATATCAGACAGTGTTTTGTCTTTCTTCCTCGACTTCATTTCTTTAGCAGAGTGCTCTCAAAGTTCATTCATGTTGTTACAAATAGCAAAATTTCAGTCTTCTTTTATGACTTAATACTATTTCATTGTGTGTGTGTGGGGGGGGGAGTGAGTGGTTATGTGTGTGCTTCTTCCAAACTTACTTTTCCATTTGTTCATCCAGAGACACTGACATAATTTTCATATCTTTATCACTGTAAATACTTCTGTAATGAACATTGGGGTATATATGTAGTTCTGAGTTACATAGTTCTGAGTTATGTAGTTCTGAGTCACTGTTTTTGTTTTCTTGAGTAACTACCCAGTCGTGGATCATATGGTAGTTCTGTTTTTAAATTTTTGAGAAACCTCCATGTTGGTTTCCATAGTAGCTGCACCAGTGTATGTTCTCAATAACAGTGTACAAGGATTTATTTTCCTCCATGTCCTTGCCAATACTTGTCTTTTTTTTTTATGGTAGTCTTTTAACAGGTATGGGACAATTTCTAAGTGTGGTTTTGATTTGCATTTCTCCAATTACTAGTGATGTGCAGTATGTCTACATGAGTCTGTTAGTCATTAGGATGACTTCTTTGGAAAAAACATCTATTAAATAGTCTGCCCATTTTTGTTCCTATGTGCTATTGGGTTTCATTAACTTTTTGGTGTACATTTTGCATTTTGGTATTCAGTCCTTATTGGGTATATCATTTGGAAATGTGGTTCCCATTCAGTAAATTGACTTTTCATTTTCTTGATGGTTTCCTTTAGAGTATGGAAACTTTTAAATTTGATGTAGAACAATTTGTGTATTTTTTTTTTGACCTTTACTTTTGTTGTTAAATCCAAAATATCATCTTTGGGACCAGTGTCAAGGAGATTATAGCCTATGTTGTATGTCTTGTAGTTTTATAGTATGTCAATTCTGTAGCCCATTTGAATTGTTTTTTCTATGTGATGTAAAATAGTTGTCAAGTTTTATTCTCTTGAGAGTGGCTCTCCAGTTTTCTCAACACTATTTATTAAAAAGATTTTTTCTTCTACTTCATAGTCTTCTTTTGTGGTAATTACATGTGTGGACTCTCCTATTTTGTTGAACTATGTGTCTATATCATCATGTTTTGATATTATAGGTTTGTAATATAGCCTGAAATCAGGGAGTGTGATGCATTCAGGGTTTTTTTTTTGTTTGTTTTTGTTTTTGCTTTTAAGATTACATTGACTTCTTGAGGTCTTCTGAGTTTCCATTCAAATTTTAGGGTTGTTCTATTTCTGTGAAACATGTCACTGGAATTTTGGTAAGGATTGTAATAAATCTGTAAACTTATTTGACTAGTGTAGAAAAATTTATTCCTCTAATACATGAGCAGGAAATCTTCTATTTTGGTGTATCCTCTTCAATTTGTTTCATTAGTATCTTACAGTTTTCAGTGAACAGATATTTCACCTCTTATTTAAATTAATTTCTGGGTATTTTATTTGTTTGTATAAAACAATACCAAAAAAAAAACAACACCTTAGTGGGTTGGGAAAAAAACCCAGCCATTTGTTTAGTTTATGATTTGGTGGCTCTGCAGTTTGGTCTGGGGTCACTGGTGGCTCTTTAGACCTAATGTAGTCTTGTCTTATGCATCTATTAATTTGCTGGTTTGTTCAATAATGGCCAGTCCAGGAAGTTCTCATATGAGTATATGGTAATTGACTAGCTGAAGTCTGGAGAAATGGAATAACTGAGTTTTGTGTTCCTTGGTGTCTAGGGTGCTAACTAGGGCTTATTCTTATGATGGTGATTACAGCAGATCCCAGGAGTGGCAAATGGGAACGTGAAATGTATGGATGCTTTTTACATCTCTGGTTGTACCACAACTTGCTAACACCCTATTGTCCAAAGCTTTTCACATAGTTCATACACATGTAAGGGATGTGAGAACTGGCACTTCTTCTTCAGTGGAGAAATGAAGAATTGTGCCTACCAAATCCTGGAAATATTCTCAACCCAGTATCTATAGTCCAAGATTTTCAGCTTCTATAGAAGTTGAGGTTCTATATTACTTTTCTCACATCTACATTTTTGAGGATTTTTTTTCCAGAGTAATCTTTAATTCTGTTTATTATTTATATGAAAAAAATATATATTCTGGATACAAAAGTAACACAACAAAATCACCACCTGACCTTTTAAGTCTTATTGTGCTTCTGATAATATATGAACCTCCGAAGTTATTGAAGTTGTTCTCTTTGGTTACTATTCTAAATATCTGCATAAAACGATGCAGGCAAAACATGTACATGATAAATATTGTAGAAAACACCACTGTTTGCTTCACAGCAGGTCCACTTTTCATAAATATTTATGTGTATATATTAGTGCTTGTAGAAGATAATGGTATGCTGGCTCATGAAGTAGCCACTCTATCCCTTTCTGACATACTTTCCTGAATTATTGAATCTTAGAAGCTAAATTTAATAAGTCAAAAAAAAAAAAACGGTAAATTAAAAAAGGACTACACTGAATTCCCAGACTCCTTGCAGCTTAAGTTCTTCATGTAACTTGAGATCTATCAGGCAGATTTATGCCTGAGATCAGGAAGGTGGAAGTAAGTTTCATTACATATAGCTAAAAGCAAGGTGAGATCATTGGGGGAGAGGATTTTGATTCTTTGGGTATAACTATAAAATATGTCATTAATAATACAAATGCATATTTGGCTTTGATCAGCTTGACTATCAACAGGAAACAAAGGACACACTGTATATTTAAATGGGGCTAAGTGAAAAGGTCTGGGCAGTAGGCAGCAGATCCCAGTATTTCAGCAAGAAGCATCTTCCAGCAGTCGCAGAAATGCCCCCTATCATACCTTAAAGGAATGAGATCTGAGTAATATTACTAGAATCCAGGGAGAAAGTGGTCTGTAAGGTGATTTGCCTTGTGGAACTCAGCCATCCTGGGGCAACTTAACACAACAGTCACCTAAATGAACAGATGCCATAAGCTTGCTCTCATTTTTCTCTACAGTCTTTCCCAATAATCTCATTGCTCCAACAGAGGAGGAGCTTACAGGTATCATTAGCAGATTCATGGATCTTGGAAAGTAAGCCACTCTGGAGAGGAAGAGCAAATATCTGGGTCAAGATCCTTGTAGTTGTCAAGTGTTTAAGCCACAGTGTATACGATGGCAAGTAGAAACCACAGTAGTGGTTTTACTGGAACAGCACTGAAAATCTGTTCTGTGTCCAGTTTTCTTGGCCATCATCAAATTTGCTTCTGAGGCTGAGAAAGGAGTATTTCCAGCAACCCAATACCTTTAATAAATTCCTTTCTTCTTTAATGGGATTTTGTTTCAGGAAGAAAGAGCCAGATTTATGTAGTGAGGGTAAGAATGAGTGAATGAAAGGATAAAGTGAAAATAATCTATGATCTAACTTCAAATTATGAAATCAAATTAAAACAAGATAAGCATAATTTATTTGGGTGATGTTAATATTCAATATAGTAATGACAATTTTAAAAAATTATGTATGAGATGTATGAGAAAACTGGCAATTATTCTTCAAAGATTATTACAGGTACTTTTTTATATATTGGTTACCTACTATAAATCCCAGAGGCTTGTGTTTACATGATAAACTTCATTGAGATTTAGACAAACTCCCCATATCCATGCTAATTTGGTGTCACTAACTCCTATTTGAATCTCTTGAGAGATGTCTACCCTCCCTCTAGGGGAAAGAATACTTTCCCATAAAATTTAACAAAGTTTATATTTTGGAGTCAGAATTGTTTATCAATCTACATAAAAAGAGTTTGCTTTTGCTGAGATGTCTCTAAACTTACTAACTAAATAGCAAAACTGATCATTTTCTTCTGAATTTATGACAGTTTGAGAAGTGTCTGACTTTGCATCAGAAACTGTAATTTGCTTTCATTTTAGTTTT